AAAAAAATTTAAGAAATTGGACCTCTCTGAATGTACCCTCTTTTTCAGTTTTGACTTTGGAACTATAGAAATATTTTATATAAATTAATTAAGTAAATTTTAACAAATGCCATCACAAAAATTTTAAACGAAACTGGCCCAAACAGACCTGACTCTATATCAAAGTTGGTGGCACATTGGAGAATTATAGGAGGTAACTAAAACACACCATTTGAGCAAGTGGGATATAGCCTAAGGCCAAAAAGAACTATGAGGAAATCTTTTTTTTCTTTTTTGAGACAGAGTCTTGCTCTGTCACCCAGGCTGGAGTGCAGTGGCACGATCTCAGCTCACTGCAACTTCTGCCTACCAGGTTCAAGCGATTCTCCTGCCTCAGCCTCCCGAGTAGCTGGGATTACAGGTGCCCACCACCACCCCCGACTAATTTTTGTATTTTTAGTAGAGAAGGGGTTTCACCATGTTGGCCAGAATAGTCTCAAACTCCTGACCTCAGGTGATCCACCTACCTCAGCCTCCCAGTGTGCTGGGATTACTGGCATGAGCCACTGCACCCAGCCCTGGAAATCATAAACTTCATTCAAAATTCAATTATTAGTAATAACACTGGTATTGTTTAAGATAAAGCAAATAAATATGTTATTATCCCTAGAAACCAAGATTTTCATTATAAGAAAAGACATATAAGTAGGTCAGGTGTAATGGTTCACACTTGTAATTCCAGCACTTTGGGAGGCCAAGGCAGACAGATAGCTTGAGCCTAAGAGTTTGACACCTGCCTGGGCAAATCCCCATCTCTACAAAACTTAGCTTGTGGCCAGGCACAGTGGCTCATGCCTGTTATCCCAGCACTTTGGGAGGCTGAGGCAGGCAGATCACCTGAGGTCAGAAGTTCAAGACCAGCCTGGACAATATGGTGAAACCCCCTCTCTACTAAAAATACAACATAAAATTAGCCGGGTCTAGTGGCGAGCACCTGTAATCCCAGATACTCAGGAGGCTGAGGCAGGAGATCGCTTGAACCCAGGAGGCAGAGGGCAGAGGTTGCAGTGAGCTGACATGGTGCCACTGCACTCCAGCTTGGGTGACAGAACAAGACTTCGTCTCAAAAAAAATTAGCTTGGCATGGTGCCATGTGCCTGTAGTCCCAGCTACTGGGAAGGCTGAGGCAGGAAGGTTGTTTGAACTCAGGAGTCTGAGGTGACAGTGAGCCGTGACTGCACTATTGTACTACTGCACTCCAGCCTGGGTGATAGGGTGAGACTCTCTCTCTTAAAAAAAAAAAAAAAAAAAAAATTAAGTTAAATTAAATTAAGTGCAAAAAGAGATACAACTAAACTATATCATTTAGGGATGCGTAGTTCAGCTGGCAAAACCATAAGCAAATCAAATGAGTGAGATTAGGTGCATTTGGGAGCATGGTTAGAGCAAGAGGGTCTCTCCTGGAAAAAGACATGCAGAGGCTACAGGAAAATGACTACTTTCAATTTTTTTTTTTTTTTTTCTTTCAGAGTCTGCCTCTGTTACACCAGGCTGATTGCAGCTCACTGCAACCTTGAACCTGGGTTCAAGTGATTCTCCCGTCTCAGCCTCCCGCGTAGCTAGGGCTACAGGCATGCGCACTCTGCCCAGCTAAATTTTTGTATTTTTAGTAGAGACAGTGTTTCACCATGTTGGCCAGGCTAGTCTCAAACTCCTGACCTCAGGTGATCCGCCCACCTCGGCCTCCCAAAGTGCTGGGATTACAGGCGTGGAACACCGCGCCCGGCCTCGATTTCTTAACCTGGGTAGTTGTTACATGGGCGCTGGCTTTATGATAATTTGTGAAACTGTACATTTATATTTTATACTCTTTGGGGCGTATTATATTTCACAATAGGAAAGTTAAGTAGTGAAGTAGTGGGACTCTTGGGCAGGAGGGAGGGGTCCCATCCCAGAGATTCAGGTGTAAATGGTGTGTCTGGAGGAGTCAGGGCCTGCCCTGGAACTCCTCACTGCTCACAGAATTTTTAAAAACAGAAAAATAGGCAGAGCGCGGAGGCCCATGCCTGTAATTCCAACACTTTAGGAGGCCGAGACAGGCGGATCACTTGAGTTCGGGAGTTCGAGATCAGCCTGGCCAACACGGTGAAATCCTGTCTCTACTAAAAATACAAAAATTAGCCAGGTGTGGTGGCACATGCCTGTAATCCCAACTACTCGGGAGGCTGAGGCAGGAGAATCGCCTGAACCCAGGAGACAGAGGCTGCAGTGAACCGAGATCACGCCACTGCACTCCAGCCTGGGTGACAGAGCAAGACTCGGTCTCAAAAAAATAAAAAGAGGCCGGGCGTGGTGGCTCAAGCCTGTAATCCCAGCACTTTGGGAGGCCGAGACGGGCGGATCACGAGGTCAGGAGATCGAGACCATCCTGGCTA